GTAGTTACTAAAGGGAAGAGCATGCCGTGACTGCAGCGGCCCGAAGAAATGTGTTGAGGTTGTAGTGACCAAAAGTGATGGGCGTGTCGTGGCGACAACGACTCGAAGGTGTGCCGAGCCAACAATGACCAAAAGAGATGGACGTACAGGAAGGTGTGCTGAGGCGACAGTGACCAAAAGGGATGAGCGTGTCGTGGCGTCAGTGGCCCGAAGAGGTGTGCCGAGACGGCAGTGACCCGAGGATATGCAATATAGGTAAGTGAACCTGCAAATAAACTTGCATATGTACATTCACAAGGTGCAGTGGTGCAAGTGGTTGGTTGATCGGGCCGTGGTGACCGGTCGAACTAAAGTGCACGGTTGACCGGGCCGGTGCGACAGATCGAATCAAAGTGAGATGCTCGCCGGGTCGGGGCTGCCGATCGGAGCGAAGTGAGATGCTCACCGGATTGGGGTGGCCGGTCGGAGCGAAGTGAGATGCTCACTGGGCCGAGGCGAACAGTCGGAGCGAAGTGAAGTGCCCGCCAGGCCGGGGCAAACAATCGGAGCGAATTGAATTGCCCGCGAGGCCGGGGTGATCGGTCGGAGCGAAGTGAAGTGCTCGTATGCTCCATGCAAAATGCAGTGCAATTCAAAGCAAGCAAACATACAGATAGTCAACCAGACTCGTGCTAGCGACCTCACCTGGGAAACCTAAGGTTTGGACACTTGGATATGCGGCATCTCCGCCTCCGACTTTGGTGTGGCAATGTGGAGAGCTCCCCCCTCTGATTTCTCCGAGGGGAAACTCGTCATCGTTCTTTGGGCGGACTAGCTACAAAGCTTTTTCTGCTCTACGAACACCCACCATCTTATAGGATGGACTAGCTACAAAGCTTTTTCCGTCCTCTAAGATCGAACTCAACTAATCCCTCCAAGGCAAAATATGATCGCCAAAACTGTGGAAAATTGAGATTTCAACCCGCGAGGATCAAGACCTAAGGCTCACGACATGGGGAATTGCTCGGCTTCGAAAAGGAGTGGCCAACGCATGTGATTCTTACCCTACGACTCCCTTTAGGTAAATCAACGATCAATCATACAGGCACGTCGTCGCGCCGGCTTATGCCGGCTCACGCACCCCGTGTGGGCAATCGAACACACACGCCTAGACACCACTAACGCTAAGGTTGACTAGAAGTTTCTGAGAAATCTCACATCCGCGACGGTTGCGGACGTGTTCTCTTTCCTTGCTCCAAGCTGTCGGCATTCGGTCCATGCACCGACGTACATCACAATGAAATACATAAACGAGCAAGTGCTAGTGAGGGCAAGAGGTATGCAAAGTATACAAAATAAATATCGCAATATACGAAAATGAGACCAGCACGTATACCTTCGAGAAGGGTCGCTCAACGTCGACGAAAGAGGGGAACCCACGAGGATGCCTGCGGGAAGAAGAGTTTGTCGAGGCTTTACCCGAGAGGTGGAGACGTCCACACCCCCCTGAACAGCAACACCTTCGCTGTCCGTCGACGGTGGATCGCTCCGGCGAAGTTTCCGTTCGCCGGGAAGGTAGGACAACGACGTGGAGAAAGTTAGCTCGCCGGTGGTGCGCACCGGGAGCGGAGGAGAGCCTAGAATATGAAGCTCTCCTCACTTATTTACTCCAACGTAAATATGACGTCGACAAGGCAAAAGGCCGACGAGGAGGAAGAGGCGGCTCTAGGGATATGTCGGCGAGGAAGCTCGACGCGTGGCCTACCGAAAGGAAGGAGGTGTCGTGGGTTTCGCCGACATTTGGAGGCGTGGACGGCCAACGAAGCGGAGGAACAACCAAGGGAGAGGGAGCTTGGGCTGCTTCTTCAAGAAATCCGATTAAGGGAGCTTGGGCTGCTTCTTCAACAACCAAGGAGAGTAGCTTCGGCGAAGAGCGCTAGAGAGAAGGGAAGCAGGTTCGCGGCTCGAGAGAGAGGGAGCAGGTGCCAGTGGAAGAGATAGATAAGGGAGAGAGAGAGTGGCATGCGCTTGAGCTAGAGATAGGATTTTAGATAGTTTTTTTATTATTAATATTATTTGATTATTATTATATAATAATAATAATATTATTATAACTATCAACGCGCATTCTTTCCTGAACATGGTCTCATAGTGAAATGAATCTCCCTTAAGGTAAAATCGACGTTCTGAACACAATCTCGCAGTCCGTTTCGTCGTCTGGGGTCGTTTGGATCACTTTTTCGATGATCGGGCACAGAGCGATAATTCTCGCATTTTAGTCCGCTCGCGAAGCCGTAGCGAAATGAATGTCTTCCCTAGGTGACATCGACATTCCAGAAGCATTCGCGTGGTTTTAATATGGTATGTTTTTTAGCTATGACTTAAGAGAAGAATACAGGTCTCTATACTCTGATAATTGTTCATTGAAAAGATGTGTGTATAGATTTTGTTGCAGGTTGCTCCAGACATAACGAAGCAACGACTCTATTATGGTGGTGTAGACCGCTTCTCAAAGATGATACATTTTGCATCTTACCATAAGATCACATGTCACATACATTGCAAATTTATACTTCAGAGAGATAATTCATCTTCATGGTATGCTTAAGGCCATCACTTCAATTCGATATGTGAAGATTATGAGTAAAATTTTTGGAACATTATAAGGTAAATTGGGTACAAAATTTCAATTCAGTTCAGTAGTGCATCCGCTGACAAATTGGTATGAAGATACGATGAATCATAATTTTTTATTTTTATCAAGCATTTTATAGTTAAAAACATTTAACAATGGGATTTTGCTTCTTCCATAGGTTGAATTTTTTTACAATAGGTCCACTAGTGAATCCACAATTTGTGGCCCATTGAAATTGTATATGGGTGGAACCCTCTCATATAATTGGATTAGTGCCAATATTTTTTTTTCTACTGAGCTTAGTACTGATGCATAAACCATAGTCCAATATATTCAAATTCTACATAACCAGGATATGAAAGAAATTGGCAAGCAGAACACCAAGTGTCAGAAGCAGCTTAACAAGTCTAGAAAAGCTAATCTTTAAAAAGGATGATGTGGCATAGATCAAATTGAAAGAAAGGTTTGTTGTGGGGTCATTTGGGAAGCTCAAATCTAGAGTTGATATTTCATTCATAAGCGTCAAGAACGTTAATGATGAGTCATACAAAGTTGATCTATCGGGTAACTACAATATTTTGCTTATCTTTAATATTTCTTAATTTTCATCGTACTATGAGAATTCAAAAGCTTTTAGAGAAGAAAAAATCTCTTCTACCTAGGGATAGGAGCAACTCGTCTTTTTGAAATGGGTGTGGGATGGGTTTTTCTTTTTTGCGTGGTCCAGTAGTGGGAAAAATCTTTCCTTTTGATTAGTGATGGCTTTGTGGGCCCCTATTGCTTTATTTTGATTTACTTGGGTTTGAATTTATGTTCAAGTATGAGCATTTTGTTTTAAAACTTGGTTTGGACATTTTTACTTTGATTTGTGTTTATTGGAGATTTTTTCTATAACTTAATTCTATTTGTAGAGTTTTAGCCCTCTAGTCCAAGTGGTGAGCCAGTATCTTGATCAAGAGCAGGTGGAACCTCCTTGAGGTCCGTAGCTCACTTAGATCCCCAAACACTATTTGAGAACACTAGAACGGTGTTAGTAAGTCTTTAATGCACTATGGAGAATCAGAACAACAGGATCTCAAGGATGTAATTGTTATCTGTTTTTTATATGTTTTTTTCTGATATGTCCTCAAAACTTTAGTTTAACTTCTCATAGGTGCTGCTTATTTTGATCAGGGCGTGGACAAGCTTGGAGCTAAATTAGCTGCATAAACTACAAAAAATAATTTCACTGGTCTTTGTTTGTTTGAAATGCATGGAGAATGGTTGCAAAAGTAGTTATTTTGTAAGACAGCTTGGGGTAGTGAAGATAGAAAGCTTGAATTTTCAACCCTTTTTGCCATCATATAACAAGAGCTCAATCTTTGGCAGTAGATATTGCACATTTTCTTTAACATTTGATATAAATTGCGTGATTTTGAGAACTTTTTTGTTTAGCCAAAAATGATTTGATCTGATTTAACTAGAAGTTCAGCATAACTGAGCCATCTCAGAAATCCATTTAAACTTGTCCCTAAGATTTATCTGATTGATTTAGATGACCGTTTAAAAACTTGAAGGACATTTAAAAGAAAATAAAAGCTCGAAAAAAGCTCACATACTTCGTGAAATTAGTGAATTTATGTTTCTTATTAATTTTGCTTTGTTGTGATCGTAATCCTCCGTTCCTTGAAAGGAATAGGCCTTGGTTTTGGATAGATTTCTATAATAAATTAAAAGAGATGTGTTCTGCTTGTGGACATGTTGCTTCTGCAGACTTCTTTGAGGAACTTATTTTAATTATTAAAAAATTCTTTTAGAGGTAATTGGTAGTTGTTCTGAATCTGCTTTCTTATTTCCAGGCTATATTGTACTTAAAAATTAAAGCCTAACTTATGAATGAGTTGGTGGAACTAAAATTGCATTGTAGATCTTCTTTAGCTTTAAAAGTGATATCTGAAAGCTCTTAGTGATCTTTTTTTTATTCTCATTTAAAGGATCCAATGCACATGCTTCCACAGCTGTTTAATCAGGAGAAAGAGTGTCAGGAATCTTTATTCTTTTAGGAGGTTATATGCTTTAAAACATTCGCATCTGTTTTTTTATCCCTTATTCTATGATGCTACAACTTATTAAAAAATTATATGTATTCATGAATTTGTTACAGTTGTTAAGCTTGCTAAGTCACTTTTAGGCTTGAGTTTGTGTTTCTTCTCCTCATTCCTTGCATCTAAAGACTATGAAAATTGAGTCACTTTTTGCATTTGTGTCATGCTTTCACTGTGTCTCCTTCACTTCAATGTTAACTTCTTGCTATCATTCTACTTTCTTTGTGAGTATCCAAAGCAGTTATATCTAGTATTTTCTGCTTTAATTGTTTTTATTTAATGTCATTTTTCCGTTATTTTAGGTGGAGGAATGTGGTTTAGTTTCCCAGAGAATTGGTGAAATGATTTCGCTTGGTGGAGAACAAGGTCAGGAGATAAGCTCCTTTGCTGACATCCCATCTGATTTCTTCTATGATATGGAATCTTCATGGAAAGGTCGCGTGAAGAGAATCCATGTAGAGGAGGCTTTTGGAAATGTTGACAGGGCTGCTGAGTTGCTTTCCATTGCTGTTTGTTTCTGACCATCTTTTGTACTGCTTTTATCACGCTTCTTATATTTTAACTACTTTCTTTTTTGGATTTAATCACATTTTTGCATTTTCCTCATGAATACAATATATGGTATATAACACCTATTTTCATTAATTCATCATTAATAAATTTTTATCCTCTAGAACAAATCTCGATGCACTTTTAGCAATAAACATTCCAATTCAAATTCAAAATCAGCAAGGCCTCATTTTTAGTACGTTTATGGTCAAACTGACTATATTGATAAGACAAAGCCAATGATACCAAATTTGGTTTGATTTGGGTCCAATCAAGCCCAGATCAAGTGATTGGAGCATAATTGATGGTTTTCAAATGTCAATTGATTGGTCAAACATACTCTAAATTTTACATATTTATTGTTTAATTGAACGCTTCAACGAAAGGAATTCAATGAGCCTAAGTTCACTGAATTTTGAGGTCCTTAAGGCACTAAAATCCTTAAAAACACTCCTTAAGATGAATGGGAATCAATATGGCTCTAAAAGTTATTCACCAGAAGACGAAAATACTCCTATCCTAGAGGTTATAAATTGACACCCTCTTTTCATTTGAGGGGAATGTTGAAGAAGAGGAATTCAAGAGCTTGTTCTAGACTGAAGGCCTGATGATGAATTTCGGCCTCCGTAGCTGCCGACCATAATCGATTGTCGGCTAATGTTGATCATTGTCGGCCATCCCTTCTTGTGTTGTCAACCTCTTACTGCCGGTGACTCCTGCTTGTAAACATCGTATCCCAAATACAGTTGTAATGTATTACGCCCATATTGAAGGCCCGAAGATAATTTTTGGATTTATTAGATATTGATGGCCGCATGGATCCAAATGATTTTATCGAGTGGCTTCAAACATTGGGGTGAATTTTTGAGTAAAATGATGTTCCTCTTGATAAGAGAATTAAATTGGCAGTCATCAAGCATAGGAAAAATGCATCATTATGGTCGGAGAACTTAAAGCGTGTTCGACAACAAGATGGAAAGGGTATGATCATTACATGGTCCAAGATTAAAATGAAGATGCACAACAAATACTTTCCCTCACATTACTATCAGGACATATTCATAAAGCTCCACGATCTGTGTTAGACACTTACGTGGTTATGTATACAACCAACTTTGATCAATTTATACTAAAATGTGAGTTGGTAGAACCAAGGAACACATAGTGGCAACATATTTTGGAGGACTGAGGTCATCTATCAATAATGTGGTTCAATTACGGTCATATCGGTCCCTATTAGATGTGTAGACTTTAGCTTTGAAGGTGGAGAAATGTCACTAAGAAACCGCAATGGATCAACAAACCGTACAAGAAGACTTCAACTCCATGATCAGACAAGGAAAATACACCCAATGGATCACCCAAACAATCACCACCCGAGAAGTTAATCCAGAGTAGAGAAAATATGAAGCTTGTCAACACTCAAATCAATCCCAATCAGGCAGTATTTCAAGTTTCATGAGTTTGGACACATTACCTTAGTTTGTCTAAATAGGAGAATGTTGTCTTTTACTGAGCAGGGTATTGTGGAGGAGGCAAAGAATGAAACCCAAAGGAGATTGGATAGAAATACCAGCTTGCCGTCAACGAGAGAGATGCTAGTAATTTAAGCTGAGCTCATGAAAGAGACTTCAATGGGATTAGTATTGCTTGTCCAAGAAGATAATAAGTCCAAGGTAATGGACGTGCATATAGAGTTTGAGTATGTGGTGTCACGAACCACCTGTTTACAGCAGTTAGAGCATCAACAAGACTGACATTGGTTGTCCAAGTGAGCAATGAGTTGGAGCAACCGACACCAGACATATGGAAATCTCGGATATGAGAATTTCAAGATTTTTTAGTCATATAATCTACCTTCTAAGTTATCACTACTGATGGAGGTCCAATATGTAAGAGATGAGAATGTCTTGAGCTATTTCTTGAATGCCATATTATGTATTTGGGTGTTATTTTCCAGTTTAGTTCAACAGCGCACTTACTGATAGATAGTCAGCAGGAGCATGAACCACAGTGTTGAAAATCTTTGTAGGTGCTTTGTGGGAAAGAATATCCTACAATGAGATCCAAGTCCTTCCGTGTAGGATGTGCATATTGTTTTAAATGTAAAAAGAAGTACGAAATAGTGCAAAAATAAGTCCTCAGATTTGTGCAAAGGCAGCCCTATCTTCCCGGAGAGTGGCAAAAAGCTCCGAGGATTTGGCAACCGAGTCAAAAGAATAGCTTGGGAGAATGGTGCGGGAGAATCTATGGCATTGGGGGATTGCCAATCCTGAAATTCTGAATCACGGGGATACACTATCTTTCTATCTTGAACTATGGGATTCCACAATCCCGTGAAAATGGACGGGCCACAGGTCGTGGGATTCTAGTTGGTTGTAAAATCTTTTTTTTATTTCTTTTATTTCTTGAGCAAGTTTCTTTTTTTTTTTTAGTTCTTTCCTATTTTTTTAGTTTCTAATTAAGTATTTCCTTTGAGGAGACATTTGTTATTTTACGGTTTGGATATGCAATTTTTCTGATTGGATGAATTGAGAAGTGTTTTCTTTGAATTTTGCTCTCCAGTGTATTGTATCATTTCCTTTTGCTAGTGGTGTGCCTGTATCTTCTTTAGAAATAGATGGTGGAACCCCCTTGCCACCCGTATATTACCTTAATGCCGCCTGGCCTACTGTTTTCAGCTGGACAGCCATCCATCTCACTGTTACTTGCTGTTTCCAGAGGAAATTGCTCTTCCTCCAGCTTGTGCGACAGCCGCCATTCGACTCCAAGCTACTGTCCAACAGCCACCTTATCCACAAAGCCCCCTCCAAATGCTGTCAAACTCGCATATTACCTTTCCCTTACAATTCCACAATCACCTCCCCTATAAACCTACCTCTAAGTTACTGTTTAGGAGCCCTAAAACAGTATCAGATAGGATAAGCCATGATGATGATTCGTGGTTCAAAATGTCTTTTCGGGACTATGGTCTAGTATCTTCAATATTTTTCTCCGGCGATTCATCTGCTCACACATTACTCTTAGAAACTTAATTGTTTTATTTTAATATTTTACTCCGGGGATTCATCTGCTCACTATCTTTCTATCATAAATATTGTCCTATTGTTGGTAATTTTGCACTGATTCTGCAGGTGATGGAAGACTTCATCCCAGTAGTTCAGAGAGTAAAATCTAGTGTATCACCTCTTGGAGGTCCGAAGGGAGAAATATGCTATGCAAGAGAACATGAAGCCGTTTGGTTTAAGGGAAGGCATTTCATGCCATCTGTATGGGCTAACACCCTGGGGGAAGAACAAATCAAGCAACTCAGACCTGCTGTTGATTCAAAAAGGAGAAAGGTGGGAGAAGAATGGTATACCACTACTAAGGTTGAGGATGCATTACTTAGGTGAAGTCGCTTTTTGTTAAACTATTTATTCCTTCTGAATTGTTGATTTTCTCATTTTTATCATGATGACTTTTAACCGTGTAAACTTCTGCTATTTGCATATATTTTTGTTTTTTACTTTGGTTAATAATTACAGTAATATTCTTCCTCTGGTGTAGGTACCATCATGCTTGTGCTAAGGCTAAGGTTGAAGTTCTGGAACTTCTGAAAGATCTTTCTGCAGAAATGCAAGATAAAATAAATATTCTTGTCTTCTCTTCCATGGTGCTTGTGATAGCAAAGGCACTTTTTGCGCATGTTAGGTATAATTCCACTATATTTAAGATGTCTTAAGGTTTTATGTCATTAGATGTAGTACATGATTTCCATGAAATTATCAGCCTTTCCTTAACTGCAGGATTTAAGGTTGGCTACTGAATTGAAGATTCATTAGGAAATCAAAGAAAAGAGAGTAAATAATAACTAAGCAAAGAATCTTAAAGTTGTAGGTAGTGAATTACATTAATATGCTGCCTTTGTGACTGTTTATATCGTAAACTGTCTTCCTTTCACAGGTAACATTGTCAAATCAGATTTATCTTAGAACCATTTGCTTCCACTGTAGCCTTACAGAGTGTAATATACAAATTTTGTGCAATTGAATTCAATTAAGTGGATTTTGCATCAACATGATCATCTTAAAATTGTCTCCGTTTTTCTTTGAGGACATTTTTTATTTTCTTGCCATTCAAAGTTTTGCATTCATTTTCCTATTTTACACAAGGGTCTCTATCATCATGTAAGATAATATTCTTATCATTTAACATGGGAATAGAGCAGGGTAATCCTAGCCTTAGCTTCCCCCTATCTCTAATCCACAGTCAATCCAACTCTTGCATTGCTCAGTTGCACATGCTCAACGCTCACAACCCCATTGCTAGTCCCAAACATAATTCCCATATGCAGTTGTAGACCTGTGCTATGCCCAAAGGAGAACTCTTTTCAAGCCCTCTTTTCTTTCTTCGCTGCACACTATCACCATGCAAGCCTATGAGGCTGCTCACATGTGTCTGCTCATTTTTATGCTCTTATGCTTGTGCTCACATGCTCCTCGCATGCTCAATTCACCATGACTATCTTCTACGTTGGCAATACTGCCTCATACATTCCACTTATCATTTCCCCGCTTCCTATTGTAGTCTTTCTTGTGTCACCTCTTCTAAATGTTTTAATTCTTAGGTTCTAAGATGCTGTATCCAACCAGATCAGATCAGTGAAGAAAAGGGGGGGCCGGCTGACCCATATTACTGAGTTAAGGTTGCTGCCTAAGAGGAGGGACCTCACCCTCCTAGTTATCTGCTATATATGTCTTCTCCTTGTGTTAGGGTTCAGTTTTCGTTTCCGAGTTCCTGTTGTTGGTGTGTTCTCCCTGTTAGGGTTGTATCCGAGGGCATGCGGTGTTCTTGTTGTATCTGCTCCAAGTTGGTGACTTTTCCCGCATTCCCAGCTCGCTGCCATCACACCTGTGCACACCCCTCTTCTATCTGCTGCTGCAGCCAGCCTCTCCAGCAACCAGCCCACTGCTGCTGCCAGCCTCTCCAGCACCCAGCCCACTGCTGCCAGCCCTTTCAGCGACCCAACCTGCTCACATGCTCCAGCACCCAGCCCAGGGAAGGTTAATTTGAGAGGTCAAGGACATTTGGATGGGGATTAAAAATTAGTGAGATATGGATGGCGAGAATGATCGACAACCTATTTCTGAGCAAGATATAGAAATTTTACTTGCAAAAGGAAAGAATATAACACTCCGATGACTATAAAATTGTTAATAAAGCCTCCCAAAACAAAAACACAATATCTAAAATTGCCAAACAACAGAAAAACACACCTAAATATTCTTTTAATAGTAAATATTCTAATTAGAATAAGGAAATAGGAGAAAAATCTAGTTGACATGCGAATGAGAGATATCCTGGTCTGGAATCACCATCCATGGTGACAAAATTTCATTTTATAAATTTTGAAATATCCTTCAATCTCATACTAGGTTGACCATGGCTACACAAACACTAGATGGTCCCTTCATCTACGAGGGCACGGTTTGCCGCAATCCCATAGAATTGTAGAATTCTGCTTGGGACTGTAGCGGGACTCACAATTTCGCAGTCTCCTACCGAACCAGTTTCGGCATCCCGACATCATGTTTTCAAAAAGTTAAGCATTTAAATATGCATTTTTTTTACTTTGCCTTCTTTGAGGTCTTGAATATGCTATTTCTCAACTTCATCTCTGGTCACTGCAAGAAGATATGAGAATTTCTTTGTTTTACATTGTTTTAGAGTAGTAATAACTTTCATTTCTAAATCCATTATGTTTGATATTTTTTTCTAGTTACATGATTTACCCATCCAAGAACACTATAACGCTACTGGATAAATGAGATGAGAATCTATAATATAGAACCTTTCCTACTTGATAGTTTGTTATAAATAGAATGAACAGTTTCTTTTACCAATTTCTTCTTAAAGTTCATATCTCACGATAACTTATACAATGTCTGATGATGATGGATTTTAGGATCCTCAACATTGCTCTTTTGAGCACTTCTGGTCACCAATAGAGCTGTAAATGACATGCGTTGATCCAAGTACTGTTTTTTGAAGCTTGTTCATTTATTTTTTAATTGAGTTTAATTTAAGCTTGAAGGCTTGCTTATTAAGTTTATTTTTAAGTTTGAGCTATTATCGAACTTTAAGATTGATTGATGCTTAATAATTCAAGCATATAGCCTCATGACCAAACATAATTGAATTTTTATTTTTAATCAATAGCGGTGTAATTTGTTAGTTGCTGATAACATTTATGTCTACACGTCTTGTTATTTTTTTAACATTTTCATAATACAAGTCTCTAATAATATGCATAATCTTTAGTGTCTATAGGATATAGAAAAGTTACTACAAGATTAAACCATCATTAAATGAGCATTTTATTAAGTATTTAGTGAGCTACTTGTTGTACGTCTAATTAGCCTGTTCACTAACTGGAATAAACAAGCGAGTTAGCGATCAAGAGCTTTTAAAATTTTGTTCAGGTTTTTTCAATTATGAATTTGTTTTGAGATTTGCATTGCATGCACTAGTTTGATTATGGTCCTAGTCAAATAAGTTTCTGACTCCAGTTTGCCCTTCCGACAAGGGATCTTGGTAGTCGTACTAGGTATGGCGATGGTGGTTGAACACATGGTTATTGCTGCTTTGTTGGAAAGAAATTTTGCCGGTGCTATCAACGTAGTCATATTAATATTCTATAAGTGAAATTATTGTAGCCATGTTAATCATTTTTAAAATATATAGCATGACACTTCAAAAAATATTTTATTAGTCATGACGACACATTGTAACGTCTATTGGACATGCTAAATTTTTTTATAATGTATTTGTAGTGAAAATTATATTTTGACGTGTTTGGGATGCATATAAGCTGTTCTAGGTTCAACTAAGTGTTTTGTTAAGGTTGGACATTTGATGGGTATCTTAGTGTTGAGTCTGTTGAATGCATGTAATTCTGCTTGCTTATCCGAAACTCCGTTTGGGTTTTTACACTAAACTCAAGCTGTAAGCTGAACCCCGTGGCCGGCTTGCAGGCCGCTTTTCAGGATAAGCAGCTTATACTGAAACGCACAAGCTACCCCAAACACACCCTTAGTGTTGAGTCTGTTGAATGCATGTAATTCTGCTTCAAAGTGAATTTAGAGTAATTATGATTAGAATAGACCTAAGGATTGTAGTAACATAACAATCTAATAGTAATAGCAGTCTAGCATTCTACAATAATTTATAATATAAAAAATCACTAATCCACTAGACATATAAACATCATCTGATAAAAATACGTATGGGTTTGAAACAAAACTAAACAGTCTACTACCTATTTCCAAGAGTTTATCTCCTTCTGTAGATAAACTCACTCTTATCAGTCAAATCAATCAAGTAAAACTTTTTCTGAGAGAAATATTTAAATATTATATTAAGTTTACAACAACTTAGTGTTACCATTCTAATATGCACTGAATGAATATTTAATTATGAATTTTCAAAATAAACATGTTGATTAATCTTTAAAGCCAATTTAATGTTTTTAGTTAAAGTGAAAATATTTACTAAATCATTTTTACTTATTTATATTTTTCTTTTTCTTTTAAGAAGTTTTCTCAGAAGCACCGTAAAAAATTTATACTAATAAAGATACAAATATTTTCATTTTCTTTTTCATTTTTTTGCATGGGTGCAACTACGTCCCCCGCTAGTATCATAAGAGGACAACTCCTGATTGATTTAATTATTTACTTTTCATTTAAAGTATGTTTAATTCCTTTCAGTCATTTATATTCATTGATTAAACTTTTTAATCAACAAAAAGGTGAAATATTGTAATTCCTTAAACAGTCATTTCACTTTTCAGTTATTATATTTCAATCATAAAAATGCTTTTAAGTCTTTATGAAATAAATGAAACATTTTTATGGAAGAACAAAAACCTTAAATAAAAATTAATAAATTTAATGCATATAAAATAATAATTACTTGTCTTGATATCACTTTATAAAATGATCCTGTAAACCTAACCGACTTTTTTTTTCTTTCAGCCTTTTCATTCTTTCTCGCCAATATAAATATGATTTTCGATCAATTTCACCTAACCATAAATTTAAGATGTTATTTCAAGCATCAATACAAGATTTCAAAAACTTTTTTTTATTATTTTTGTAATCTATCAAATTTCTACGTATCTCTGTACTTTTGATTACTCCGGGTTAAAAGTTTAATTGATATAAGCAATTGATTGACTTATCTTATTTACTCTCTTGATTGTCTTTCTTCTATAAAATTCACGATCCTATCAATTTTCGCAAACTTTCTTCTTCTTTCTCCAAATACAATTTCTCGTCTTTAATTTCTTGATTCTTTCTCCCAAGCTGTTCAGCTCACCTCTTTACTGCACGCGAACCTCCCTGCGAATTATCTCCCTCTCTCGAGTTCGCACAAGGCTTCACCTTCTCTTCTCCTTTGCATAGGACATGCAAACAGTTCGCTCACCTCTAAACATTTATCTTGTAGGGGATTCTTCCTCTTTCAGGCAAGCAATGCCACACTCACGCTTCATTCACGGACACACACAATCGGCGTTGATCACTTGCAATCAAACAATTTGAACTCACCATGAATGGCTTCCACTCCCTTGTCTCCTGTCTGTCTCACGCTCTAGTCCTTCCTCCCCTTCACTCTCTTTCTATTTCTTTGGTTCAAATGAGGTGTCTATCTTTATTGTGTCCATCTGTTAATAAAGAAATCACCTAGACGGTTTTGTTATTTTTACAATTGATCTATTATTTTCGTTTTTTACATTGAATATTGATTCCTTAGACATTTAGCTTACTGAAAGTCTTTTGTTTGATTATACTTTTTCCCTTTTCTTTCAGCGAGGGTCTGAGGAGGAAATGGGTACTTCCTAGCCTATATGAAGGCTACAAATCTGAGGTAATTTGGTATCTGGAAACAATGCTTGTAATATCTGTAGAAGATATATTTGATATCTATTGGGTATTTTGGATGATTCTTGTTCTCACAAATGTAAATATGCTTTGCATCATCCATACACATGTGCTGACTGACTAGTTTCCTTGCATATGCATGTGCATACGCATTGTAGCAGCCAATTAGAATCATGCAAATACTTGTTCTTCAAGCATTATTATCTTTTATAAATCCCATTAGCATTTTATGCTGATATAAAATTATTATCTTTTTAGTCAACAAACTCAAAAATATATTGGCGTCAACAACAAGACCTTAATTTAAATTCCCCTATTTTTGTTGAATGATAAAGAGATGAGTGATAAATATTGAACTTGCGCTGATTAAGTTGGTTATACCTTGCATGACATTGCTAATTATGGTAGAATCATTTTCTTAAAATCAGTTCACAGGAATGGTATTTTATCCAATAGATTTTTTTTTCTGATGGTTTAAAAATTTCTGCTTGTTTATCTGAAAAGATTAATATAGTGAGTTTTATATTCTCTAGGTAGAGTTATGCTATTGTTTTATCCAACGAACCATGGATACTCCTAAATGCTTCTGTTGCACAAAGACCAACATCAAGTTAATACCCCTTGGCATGTGTGAAACTTTCAAAATTTTGTTGAGTTTATTTCATAAAAGATTGGCTTCTGACTCACCAAACACATGCTAACATAAGCTAGATATAGTTCGACACAGAAAGACAATGCCAAAATGTGTACCACCCTGTATTTTGTCCTTGAGTGTTAGCCAAGTATTGTACTCTGCACTGTCTTTTGTACTTCCCGTGTCAATCTGGACCAATAAAAATTCTTTTCACTAAGGAGAGGCTCTTGTCACTACTAAAATGTCATGTCATACCCCATATAACACTCCTGTAAAATACTCTTCCGAGCGAAATCTGAGAATTATACAATCTAGTCTGAATGAATAGATATGCCTCAAATCTATAATACTACTCGTATGGCCTATCATCACATCGCATCCAAATGTTTTGGAAATCCTCCTCAGCTGCATACTACTCTTTCAACATCTCAAAACCAACAATGATGCAAGGGTTGTTCTTGTGGGACAATGACATGCGATTCTGTATATGTCGAATGAGCGAGCGAGCAGGTATTTGTGATTCTCGTGATTCGTGTTAACGCAAAATTATCGGACAAGTGGAATTTTGCCCCGCCTTGCACCAAAATAATAATTTATTACCCTTTCTTATTTCCTATTTACTTATTTATAATTAGGTTTTTTTTCTGAGATAATTTATTATATCTTGTAGTTCTTCTTTTCTTATACATTGATTTTGTTTATGTTATTTGGAGATGTTTTCTCTTGGTTTTCCCAATTGTTTTTATTTTTTGTTTTCTTTCAGGCGGTGTCTGTAGCCTGGTATGATTAGTGGTGATATCTCTCGGACATTTGGAGACTTCCTTCATCATCCAATTTGTTGCCTTTTATTTGCAACATAAACAACCATTCTTTTTTGCTTCAAATTTGTTGTCTAACCATCCGTACATTATCGATTCATCGTTTGTTCGCTATTTTTAGCAAGGATAGTTGTCAATCCACGCTTATCCTCTTCCAAACGCCATCAAACTCCCATATTGCATTCCCTCGTTATTCCACGACTACACCCTCTCGAAATACGCTTTTTAAATACCTTATAGGATCTCTAGAACTGTATCATCTAGTATCGTACCTTACAAGCCCTAAATTTTTTAGGTTTGTCTTTCTTATCCCAAACCAAAATTTCAAAAGAAAATCCACCATGTCCAAATCATAATACCAACATTCCTAGCCCCAACCCTAAATTTTCAAAATGCAACTTTTCCACCTCCACTAAAATTTCACCTTGACACCTACCAGTAAAACCCAAGCCCCCAATCAATCTTGATTTGCAATTCTACATCTGTTGGAAACTCGATAGAGGATAAAAGACGTCATGTCACCAACGAGGAATCCTCGGTGAGGTATTCAAGAAGTTACTATGGATAATATGATGTGAAAAATCTTCCAACCGCAACAAACTTGTCGCCTTTGAGAGGTCACGATCTGGTGAGATCACCCATAGCCACAATGTTGACTCGCTAGATCGAGAGTTAGAAGTGATTTTTTTTCACCTATTAGGGAGGTGTCCAAGAAGTTATTATGGAGAATATGTAATTGAAAATTTTACAAATGCATTAGAGGCTTGTCTCCATTGAAAGGAGACAATTTGATGATATCACCCATAACCACAATGGTGACTTGCTAGATAGAGAGTTGGAAGTGGATTTTTTTTCACTAAATAGATTTTTGTGATTAAAGACCAATCCTGCGAAGATTTGACATAGAATATCAAATTGAAAATCAATATTTTTGAGTGAAGATTTGGTTACCAGATTTTGATGTTCGTATGGATCCAGACGAATTCAAGTGACTCTAGACAGGAAAACGGGTTATTGAGTAGAAGGTCTATCCGACACGACTATTAAAATCGACACCATCAAGCTCTGGAAAAATGCTTTCTTGTGGTGGGAGAACTTGAAGATTTTAACGGTGATAAGAGAAAAGTAAAATCACCACTTGTTTCAGGATTAAATGAGAGATGCAATGCAAGTACTTACCAATAGTTTACAAGCATGACTTCTTCTTAAGACTTCATCAATTACAACAGTAAGATCTCTCGATAGAGGAGCACACAGCTGAGTTCGAGCAGTTTATGTTAAAGTGTGTGCTGGTGGAGCCCGAGGAGAACATCATAGCTTGATATCTGAGGGAATTGAGACATTCATTAGCAATGTGATACGGTTACAAGCTTATTAGACATTACAAGATGTTCACGCCCAAGTGTTGAAGGTGGAGAGACAAGACAATAGTATCAGATCCACACAACCCTTTAGACATGGTTTAGTCATTGGATCGGGCAGTTAGAGTACACCCAATGGAGCATTCAAGCTAACCACGCTTGAGATAAAACTAATGCATAGTGGAGAAAAGGTGACTCTACCAACACTCCCAAATTCATCCCTGCCTGTAAATGCTTTGAGTGTCACAATTTAGACATGTGGCATCTAATTGCCTAAACTTGAGTGTGATATATTTCACTGAGTAAAGAGCAATTGTAGAAATAGACAGTAACACTGGAGAAAATAAAGACTTCAAAGAGGAGTGTCAACTTTCAACAGGCTAGGGAGAGATGCTATTGATTCAAGTTTGAGCCTAAGGGAGAATCACAACAAGATTAACATTGATTGCCCTGGAAAATAGTGAGCCCATAGAATCAATAGCAAAAAGATTTAACAACAGTTGACAATGTTGTATAGTATTACTGACAATTTACCTTCTAGTTGGCTGACACAGAGAGTGATTCAACATACCGTGGATGTCATTTCTGGTTTGCTTTTCCCAGACAGACTTCTTTATTGAATTTACCCAATCAAGTATGAGGAGTGAGAAAATTACATTATAAATTTAATGGCTTTAGACTCATTCATAGGAATGCCTATTTATATGCAGTTCTAGTTTTGATGGTGACAAAGAATGATAATTATTTATTCTATCCGGACAGCCTTTGAAAGGACATAAGTGATGCAAAGTTGTTTTGGTTGGACATGAGCATTAGTTTTGTGGTGGGATTGTCCAGATACAACAAGGTGATGAATTCGTTATATTGGTAGCAGATCGATTCCAGATGCTTCTAGAGAAGAACATGAAGCCTCTCTTACTCCGGGAGAATGATGTAAGCCCTGTTTGTTGAGGACATGGCTTTATCGTGTTCTCGGCTATGCCTCGTCTATGCCTTACAAGCAAGCAAGTGGGAATCTACAATTCTTGTGATTCGTGTTAATGCCGAAACATGGGAAGGGTGGAATTCTGCCCCGTCTTACTCCTAAACAAAATTTATTATTTTTTTTATTTATTTCCTATTTACTTATTTCTAATTAGGGTTTTTCTTGGGAGAAAACTACTTATATTTTCTATTTTTTTAGCATTTTGTTTTGTTATGTTATTTGGAGATGTTTTCTTTTGGTTTTCCCTATTTATGTGTTGTATCTTTAGTTTTCTTTCAGTTGATGTGTTTGTAGCATAATAGGATCAAAGTGAGTAATAATTGGCGAAGACTTGGTGCATCAACCATTTTGTTCTGACTTCTTGCCTTGTATTTGAGTACAAAAAAAATATATAAAGAAGTCCCCCCCATGAGGCCTATGTACCTTTTAACTTCTTTTGACTTTTCAAAAATCTCTAGACCTCAATTGTCATTGTAGAGAGTAAATTCATTTGCTAATAGGTAATTGCTCCAGTGATTAATGGCTCTTACGATAGCGTAAAACTGCTTGTTGTAGGTTTCTTCTATAATAATTTAGCTTTTCATTGAAGAAAGTTGTGGGATGTTCTCAATGAATTAACACAGTTCTAATTCTCACATTAAAAGCATTACACTCTACCCTGAACACTTGATTAAAATTTGGAAGTGCGGCTTCAGTCTCCTTAAGCATAAACTAGCATGAGCATCATTTGACCTTGCAAAATTTATCTGACATGAGATGCTCAATCAAATTTGTCGCGATCAATTTGAAATTCCTGATAAATCTTCTGTAAATAGAAGTCAGATCAGGAAACTATCAAACTTGACTAAATGACTGGGGTCTAGGCTTGGCTACAATAGCTACGATCTTCATGGGATCCATCTTGATGCTGGTAGTTGAAATGATGTGTCTCAAAAAACTTGTCTGTGGTGTAAGAAAATGACACTTCTTTTGATGACCATGTAGTTCTTATGTCCGAAGGACCTCAAAATCCTATCACAAATCATTTAGGTGTTTCTCCTCTAAATTGTTGTGCACTAGGATGTCATGAAAATACACAACCACAAAATTTTCAACGAAGGCTTGAAAAATTTAGTTCATCAGTTGCATGAATATGTTGGGCACATTGGATAGGCTAAATGGCTTAACAATCCACCAATACAATTTTTC